GCAAACTTCGGCTTCCCTTCAACCATCACTACAGATCGTTGACTTCAGTTCGAATCTGAACTTTTCCGTTGTCTGACCACACTTTTAGGATTCACTCGCTTCCGAACGACTGCCGACCACCCACAAGCGAACGGGTTGGTAGAACGTTTTCACTGGCAACTCAAACCTTCAAAATCAGCTGCAAACGTACTGTACTGTACTGACGCTCTTCCACTCGTCTTACTAGGTATTCACAATGCAGTGAAAGCCGACATTGGATACACTGCGGCTTAACTCGTTTATGGAACGACAGTTAGACTTCCAGGAGAATCCGCGGATCCTTCATCTTCTTCAATAAACACAGATCTAACCTCCTACATGAACAGGCTTACAAACGCAATGCGTTCAGTTAAACCGGTTTCTTCTCGATCGCAACCAACTGATGTTTTTGTTCAACCTGACTTACGATATAGTACACACTTCTTAGTTCGTCGAGACTCCTATCGACAACCTCTCGAATCAGCACACGAAGGACCCTTCAAAGTTCTACAATGCGAAGCCAAATACTATACAGTTGATAAGAACGGAACCAACGATAGCATCAGCATCGATCACCTCAAAGCAGTGTATTTGGAAGGAAAACCTATTCACGTTGATTTTCCTTCGGTACAATCGAACGGCACGGCTCCTACACTTATAATGCCTCATCCGACAGCTACCACGCACGACGATACTTCGGCAGTATCAGAGAATAAACTTAAAGCAACGCGTTCTGGAAGTAGAGTAAGATTTCCAAAACATTTAAACGACTATTGCACGTAAGACACCAGTCAACATTTTGTTTCATCTCGATTTTCTATGGCATTATATATAACATCAAAAAAATCAATTTTTATATGCTTATATTTCTATATATTTATTATTTGGCTAATATGTATAATAAAAAGATTTAAAACAAGAAACAAACATTTTGTATAAACCGCTTTTGCTTTATTTTCTTTTTTTCACCCACTTTGTGTCTTAAAGCACGTACGAGTTTATTTCAACATGCACTTACATATTTTTTTTCTTTTCCAGGACAGCTGGAAAAGACTATAAAAAGAACGATGAGGTTAATGAGGAACCAAAAACTTTCATTGTACATTATTTTTTTTACTATATTGTATTTCATGGTCCCTTAAAGTAAGGAAAGACGACCAAACGCTCCTAAACCAAGCAAGATATCAGAAGAGTGTTTACCAACGACAATTCTGGCTGGCCACGTCTTAGGGTCATCACTAGCCCACTAGGGCGGTAGTGATCTGTAGCGGTAAATAAATCCCCAAAATAAATAGCTCTGTAAGTCTTCGACATTGGATGCTGACCACATTAGTTTTAATGGACTCACGTAGCTGAAGGCGCTCGGTCAGGCATCCGCACCAGATCACATGTGGTAACGCCGTGCTCAACATCCCCTACAATCGCTTGCCAGATTAGATCAGACGATCCCAGATATATTGATAGCCTATCAAATATATCTTCGAACCACTTCACTTCTGTCTTTTGATTTCACTTTGTGGGTACGATTCATATTAGATATTACTGGTTAAAGCGTTGTCAAACTCCTAATACCTGTGGCATCTTGAACCGTTAGCCCGTGCAACGAAAACAAGTTTCTGGTTAAACTAAATCATATCACACGCTTAACAGGGACGTGACTAATTTCAGTTCCATGGACAAGTAAAAAGAATTTGAATATATTAGTCGCTCTTTCTATGCATATAAGACAACCAATATATATATATATATATATATATATATATATATATATATATATATATATATATACTTGTCAGAGGCGTCCTATAACATCAGTTTAAGTTAGTAGATATTTCACGAAAGTTTTTTCATAGTTTCCTGTATAATCACACGCTTTCAGAGGCCTATCTAAAAGTTCTGAATGTCTAGATAATGTAGATTTTTAGAAATAACTTCAAGCTTTATGGTTTTTAAAAAATAGTTTCCATGTTTCTTAGCTTATGAAAAATGACACATTGTAATATTATCTGATGCTAATTTCTCTGAAATGAGTTATCATATTCCTAAGCTATTATTATTATCGGAATTCTAAACGCTTTATATGGTTTATAGTTTGTCAATTTGTAGCGTTTAGTACAATTTCATGCCTAAGTGGATTATTCTAGCATTTTGATGGTCCAGTTAATTTATTCTTTTTCGAGTCAATATCCAGAAATATACTTGGTCTTATCATTTATTCACTTGTAATCTTGATTGTTTCTATTTGAGCGTATGTTTACGTGTGCGTTTAACGCTTACTCTATTCGTCATACGTCTTCAGTCTGTTTTTCTTTCCAACCATAAATATCAAGTCATCTTTTATTAAACTGAGTTTGCACGTTTGCCTTCTCTGAAGAGCTTCTTTCCTATTACAATCTGTTTGCATTAACGGATACGTGGGACGTATATATATAACTATATTTACTAATGTCAGAACAGATATGCATTATTTTTACAGAGATGATCATTGTAGTAAAAGAGAGTCCTTGAAATTTACATTAACTTAGAAAAGTTGTTAAAAACGTAGTGTAATAATAAATAAGTGGAAAAGATTCTAATTAAATACCACACGATTATGCAATATAAGCTAGAAAGTTACATACGACCAGTATTTTAAAGTATAAGATAAGGGGCTTAATAAAAATAACACAATATTCGTACATCTGTGTATTAAAAGTTAGTATTGTAGATAAAAGTGAAATTGTAAAAACTGTTTGTTATAAGTGTGTTCGAAATTGACGTTTATCGAAATGATTCAGGTCTTCTAGTATAAGTAGTAATAGTAATGAATGTAGTATTTGAACTAGCAATCCCAAGGATTTTTTCAAAATGTACTCTAATAGTCAAAAGTAGACCATTATTCAAGTAAAAAGTATAACCATTTACAAATGTGAATTCATTGAACTGAAGTTAGAATAACGCGTACAATAATGTAAAAAGTTATATTCGCTGGTTACAAACACAACATCTTTACAAAACAAAATTCCAAATATAATACTCCTAGTTTTAAGTGCAGTACAAGAATACTGGACTGCAGTTGATCGGTCAAACTGTATAAATATCAACAAAGTTATTTTTCTAAAGTTGAAGTGCCAGATGAATTATTCAGGACGGAAAGTATATATGAAAGTACATCAAATTTTAGCAGTAAATAATTAGGGAAGTGTACTCTCAAGAGAAATTCAATAACATATTTCGAACAAAGTATTTTAAAATCAATAGTATAAGGTGTATAAATTAATTCAGATATTGAAAATAGGAAGATTAACCAATTAGCTTACACACTAATTTTTAATATGGAATCTCAAACTTAATCGGACTCTAGAGTGCTGCCTCTTAAAATCACTTTTCAAAATTCAATGACTCAGACTCTCACCTTTAGTTAGACAATGTAGCATCACTAGTTGATTTCGAGACTTTATGGATTAATATATTTTGTACTAATAATGGAACTCGAGAGAAATTTCAGACAAATTCAGCGGCGTAAAATTCGAATTTGAGGAGAACTCATTAATAATTGCATTAACAGATCGACAAACAAGTACTTTGATCAAGAATCATACTACAGAAAATAAGACTCTTATGAAGTAAAAAGCGAATAAATGGTCTACTGTTGCACTCAACAGTTTTCCTTTGCTCGTGTTACGCACCATTTTCATTTTTATTACTTCTTCATTTATAATTTTATTTTGATACTATTGCTTTCCATCGTTAATAGTACTGTATTCTTTCATTACAGAATCACTTCATATTGAACTTGATGTAAAAGATAATCGAATATAGGAATATTCTAGAGGACTTTAACCCCGGCCTCCATGAGAATCGTGTGTCATATTGGACAATGAATGATCTGTGTACTAATTTATGCCGATAATCCAGGGGAGTATTTAATGATGGGTTCTACATTTTATTGATGTCCAAATCTTGACGGCTGTACACATTTAGTGAATTAGGATTTATTAAGAACGTCACATATAAATGAGGGGTAACTGTGAAAACTTATCTAATTCAAATGATGACTGTTAGTAGATTTCATGTAAATGAATAACGGTCAGAGTTTTTAAATACTTGCTTAGCTACTTGTGAGTAGTCAGCTTGATAGATAAAAGTGACAAACATTCGAAGGTATTCAATAAAACTAACGTTAATTAATTATTGTTTCCCTATACTACTAATAAAACTCAAGAATATAGATTTAAAAAGAGAGAATTTTTTTTTCAAAAGCTTATACAGTTATAGAATACTTTCTGTAACTTTTTCTTCTAATAAATAAAATAATATTTCAACCATAGACATGTTTTGTACTTAACAAAGACAGTAGTATATTTAGGTTACACAAATATTTATGTATACCTCAGTATTTAAACATATGTAGATATACAACAAACATACATTTATGATGAATAGCGAATACTTCCCCCCCCCAAAAAAAACTAGTGACATTCAGTGATTATTTGTTACTTCATTTACAGAATAAAAATATGATAGTTTACAGGGAAAACAAAGAAAATAAAATTCTGAGTAGTTTCAACCTCATAAACTAAAAAGTTAGTGAACTTGTATTAATCCATACAAAATGATAGAAAGGCTTAAAATATACAAATCAGACTAGATACTTTATGGCATCATTTGTTCATTAAAAGTATCGTAATGAAAGGCGGTATCAGAACATATTTAGGTGTAAATGTGTTCGTTACATACTTGTACACACATATACACATAATGAATGATTGAATAGTACCAAAAATTAAGGATCTTGTATTTGCACACACAAATCCATGTGCCTAATTAATGTTTTATCTTTCGTCTATTTTCATTCCATGTGCCCCAAAGTTTCAGACGAGTGTATCAAACACAGACTGGGATTTGAAGTGAAACCTGGAAATAAAAAATAAGCACTGTTAATAAGATTTGATTTAAATGTGTTTTGTGTATTTAACTCATTCACTTTGATTCGTTTTTCGTCAGAATTCTTCAAATTCTTTTGAACAATAATCTGTTTTAGATATTCGAAGTGGTTCCTCCTCATAATCATCGAAATTACTTGTATCACCGGGCCCTTTACATGGCGGTAAGAATGGGGCACATATCTGAAAACGTTAGAAAACAAAGTTTTTAAAATATGTGCGTTATCATCATAAAAACTGTAATGATAATGATAGTTATAATGATAAAATAAGTCGGGATGATTCTGTGAATCGACCACGAAGTTAAAAGGTAGTTTTAGGGCATCAGTTTCCAAAATTAGTTGGTTATTTTTACTAAGCGTAAGTATGCTCAGATAACAAAGTGAGACAGAAAATTAAATGCATTATTTCTGGTTCAGATTGTTAAACAGCTCTTTGAAGAGACATGTGGAATAATACTTCTTACTAATAAGGAGTTATATTCTTTAGGAAAAAGTGTATTCCGCTAACAATTTATAACTATATGGCGGTGAAATCAGTTCAGACTTATCCACTAGTTAATTTTAGCTGATTTTATTATTTAACTGTGGCTAAAATGTACTGAGCCATTGTGTCACTTAGCCTAGTGGTATTAATGAACTACTTGATTCCTTAAATTTACGATTTTTCCCGTTTAGAAATTATAATAAACCTACAATTTACGATGATGTCTTATGAAGTTTTGTTTAATTTGAAAATTATTTCTGTCATAAACTGATATAAGGGTATTAATTACTGAAGACCATGTAGCTGCAGGCAGTTCTCTCTCTGTAATTTCGAGCTTCCTAACAATGGGCGATTATGACCCTTATTTCAGGGTTCCTAGACAATAGGGACCCACGATACCAACAGTGGTCACATTCATGTCCTCCAGGTTTAAAGAAAATTGTCTTAATCATTTATCTTTAAATCAAATTCCGCTGACGAATATTTTCAAACATATCGGTGAAAATAACATGCTTCATAATCTACACACTGTAATCCGTTTCTTGAAGTAATAGTTTATAAGACCAGTAGATAATACCTTTGCATATGGAACATTTTAAGTTGTTGGAAATGAAAAGGAAGCCACATACAAAGGCGAACTAATAATAAATTTATACACCATAATATCTATACCTCCATAGTCTTAAATAAAAGCACTAATTGTTGTACATAGATTATAAAACGGCAAGAATTTCATCTATTCTTTAGTAGATTTAGGGTTGTTTTAAATAAAAATAAATAAAATAATATGGTTTCTAAGATAATTATACTCAAAAAAATATTAGTAGTTGCCATTCAATTCATTTTCATTTAGATTGAAATGATTTCTAGGAAGGAAGACAGTAAGTTTAAAATCACTTAACATTGTGTATGAATTGTCTCCAAAATATCAAGCAAAAGAATGGTTGTGAGATTATTAGAAATTTTACTGACTACTATAAAGTCATACAATATTACACATTTTATTTCGAATAAATGGTTAAATTTAAATTTATTTAATGCTCACTAATGGGAAAGGATCGATTTACCTCTGATATCAGAGCTTTCTATTAATAGTAGGTTGGCTTTGAATAAAAAATTCCAGTAAAAAAGGTATTCGGCGTAATCATTTTGATATAAGTGTTAGTTAGTGATCCGAAGAAGTAAACAGGCTGAAAATGTTTTTTTTTGAGGATCAGTGTATAGTTATTTCAAGCCTCCTGTTCTTAGCACTGTTGAGGATTCCCGTGTGAGGACCAAACAGCTGTTTGTTCTTTTCGGTTTACAGTAATGGTCTAGATAAGATTAATTCTTGGTTTAAATTATGAAAGTTCTACAATCTCCATTAACTTGGTTATACTAACAAGAATCATCTCTCTATATAAATAATGGGTCGCTAATTATAATCTCAATCAGAAGAGACGCAATCGATAAACAAAATTAGTTATTCCAATCCATCACTATTGTAAAACTTTGGTTGATGTAAATAAAGTTAAATCACATTGAACATTCCATAAAATTAAAATTAAACACGTAATGGACTATCTTATTAAGATTCTTTGACAAGACCGGTAACCTTCTGTGATAACTGATTACACATCTGTCTTGACATCTTATTATAATAACTTTTGGATCGATTCTAAATGTCAAAATAGAACTTGTCTATGATTGTAGATTCGAAATATATTGTGTTCGATTCACATCCGTCAATTCAGTCAAATCAGTGAAATACATGGCACTATATGACAAGCATGAATCAATGTCTTATTATGAACATTCACTAAGTTCAACCAAAGCTTTTAGGTCATACCATTACCATTTGCTTTAACTAATATCAGTTCTTCATTGAGATCATGGACCGATTGATGTTAGACCACCATTGAAAACCTGGAAGCACTGGATGGCCGTTTTGTCCTATTGTGTGACTCCTCAGCAGTGCGCATCCACGGTCCCGCCACCTCTCGTGATTCCAACCCAGGGCCTTCAATCTCGCGCGCGAACGCTTAACCTACTGGACCACAGAGCCGGCATCCAATGGTGTTAATGTCTGACGTCAACCAATCCACGAAATTGCGCGATCATCTTCCATTGTACTGAGGTAGATACTTGTCAATGGTGGTCTAACATCAGTCGATTCATGATCTCAAACAAAACCTTAATAATCTCCACAACCCCTATATCTATACTAATATCAGTTCTCTATGTCAAACAATCTTAATTCGTCTTTTAATGCTGAACTGATTTTACAGATACTGTTCGTCATGGAAAACTGTACGGGTTGTGCACATAACCACCAAAGGTACGAAATGTATGTTGTAGTATAAAAGTGTTAGCAACAGGAATAATGAATACCCACTTCTTTTTGATAAACTGTAACCCAATTAGTTGGCCGGAACCATTTATGACATTTGATATCATCGACACCATTTTTTAAATTACCGTAACGTTTTGTTAAATCTGTTTGTAACAATTGTTTAAGAAGATTTTTCAGATCACTACTAACATGTCCGGGAAATCTCACCTAATAAAAGTACAAAACACAAAGAAATTAAATTAATTATAAAATAAATGAATAAATAATAAGTTATACATTAATTTAGGGTTGAATAATATAGATTTGTTAAAGAAATGTTTATTCGTTTCTCAAGGCTAGTTAATCATTCAATCAGCATTCATCTAACTACTTAATAATTTAATAACTATGCGGTACCAATACTTATTTGTTATTTTGGCGTCTTCTGCAAAACTGGTTTTGTACCAGTATCTGAATTTGTTCTGTTAGAAGTATGTGTCTTCTCAAACTATCCCAGACAAAAAAATAACTGGAAAGGTAATGACTGAATGAATTTGTGCTTAGCATAGCTGAGAATACAGATACTAATTAACTGGACTACTCTGTATGTTTGACTATGCTAATCGATGCTCAATAACGATATCAGTCATAGTCATTTTATATTTTATATTAAGCCAAAATGCAAAATGCTAATTATTAAGTATCAACTTAATGACTTGTTTGTACCATGACTACCACTAATATCTCAAAAGTTGTAGGCTTGTCTCTGCATGAATCTGAAAGTGAGCTCTTAATAAATGAATAGAAAATAGGAAAAGTCTATATGCATTTTTAACCAGTAGACAAATTCAATGATGATCAATTATATCTAATTAGTAGATCGTATAAGCCAACTTTTTTTTGAATTATATTAATTATAATGATAGCTGATAAACTATTGATACAATAGTTTGTGAAAATATCAGAAATGAAAATAAGATGTGCAAGTGTCAGGACATAGACAAATCAAGCTATCTTAAAGTTTTTACGGATCCTAATTATATTCATGATATGGCGTGAAGAAGAAGCTTTTGGGAAAAATGGATGCTGAACAAAAAAATTATCAAGTTCCACATGTTTGTTTGATTACTTATTATTGTTTTTATTGTGATTGTTATTTTCAAAACCGAAATGTCACAGCCTTCACAATGCATTAAGACGATAGGAAGTAAACAATGATAGACTGTTTATCTCTCAGGATAAACATTGTACTTTGAAGAAACAACCATGTTTACATACAGAAGCAGAATAATCATATTCTAAAACAAAAGTCACATATGCCAACGTATACCGTCATATGATGGAGTTGTGTATATCATTATTCACAAACCACGTGTAAATCGCATTAAAATACGCTTCGGTTGAAATCCTTGACGTAATTATCATGTTTGTAAGTCAATATACAGCTTATTATGAAAAAATTATAAACAATCATGTTTGGAATAAATCAATGCTTAGCAGTGAATTCATATGTGTTAAGAAATCATCGAAAAGCATGTCAATATTTATATTGCCTACTGACCGTTATCAAGGGAACGTTCAAGTATTAAGAGTACTTTATTGTATTTTCAAACATCTTCGATGTGATTTAAGCCCTTTTTTATACACAAGCAGTTTTTTAAATTTGTAGAGATTTATTGAAGTGAGACTATAATTGATGGACGACGTTTAAGCGACGCTAAACTGACCTTGAGAGTGTCTATCTAATAACTAGGACCAAAAGAGGGTTATAAACCAGTGTGAGGAATTAGAATTATGATTTACAGTTGATGGTTTAGGTTAGGTATTAGATCTAGGGATTTCGTCACAAACTGACATCAGCTATATTGCCAAAACTCTATTTAGCCAAATGAATGGGTGAATTACGTGCCAAAATTCGAGACATGTTATTTTATATTTGATTGGTTCATCCATAAATTATGGTCTTGCTATTATTGGTCATCCGAGTGACGATAGAAAGAATGTGATACTTTATTCTGAAGTTATTAGAAAGTATCAGTGACAAACACAGTAGACTTACTTTACCAGCAACAATTTTCTCATAAATTTCTATAGGTTGATCTGCGAAAAATGGTGGATATCCACAAGCCATTTCATAGATCAAAATACCCAGTGCCCACCAATCCACAGCTTTATTGTAGCCCTAGAGTTTCATTTATCGATTTATTCATAAATAAAGCAGTAGAAAAATGGAAGAACTCGTCAAAAAAATTACATTATAAATCGAAATTTAGAACCCCGAATTTGGGTGCTTGAAATATAGTGTTTTGGAGAACCATTCAATGTTCCTTCTTAAACTAATCATCTATGTTTGTAAACCTTGTGTTATCTATATGACCACTGAATTTAGATTTTGAACGGTTAATTATAGCACAAAAATACTCATTTAAACATGTATTTCCTTAAACATTCGGTAAATAGATGAGTATGGAATAAATAATGAACTGTGTTAATAGCGGTTCTGCTAATTAGCATGAATTTCTGTCATTTATATGTTACTAAAAGATAATTATTTAAGTTAACTGTAAAAGTTTGCAAGGGTTTCTTTCGTTTTACTTGTATTGGTAATTTTATGCTTCAGGTTGTATTTTTTGCAAATAAACTTAAGGGATGTGCATCAAGGTTTATTTTAATTTATTTTAAACATCTTTAACTTGCGTGCATATGTGCATTCTGTGTGAATTGCTTCGGAATTGCCTTAAGTCCAACTGAAGAGTCCCAAATCGGATGAAACGCGCATCCTTCATTCCACTGCTAACCAACATACATTTCTACATATAATGGATTTTATTGACTTTTGAAGTAAGGTTTATATTCAAATGGCATAAAAAGCGCATTATTGTACTAGACACCTTTGTCGACCAATAAATTAATACCACCACAATCATTTTTTAAATGCCATAAGTAATCTTCGGTTGTTTTAGTGCCTGTATCTCTGGTAATATCCCTTGGCTGATTAATTTAATAACCAATTTATCAAACACATATTACTATAATTCATGAATATATTCGATGTAAACCTGTCTTGTTATATGAAACCTCTAGACTTTCAACGGAGGTTAATAAATTGGTTTTTTGCTCAAAGTTGTATGAAAATATATACCTTTTTACAAGCGGAACAAATCAAGCTATAGCCAGCATAATTACAAACGTTTTTAAGATTTTTTTATTAGAATATATTACACCGGAGTGTACTACTTTATTATACTTAAGGTATGAACACAACATCAACCTTAATCAAGGCTAATGAGCTAACATTCGTGTTACAACATGTTAACAACAGTCAAAACGAAATATAAAGTTACAGAAAATGCAACAATAGAAGTATTTGATTTGTTCCATTCCCTTTCATAGTTTCCCAATATTTGTAGCATACATTTCTTAAAGGTCAGATAATATGATGGTCGTTACTTTGATCATTTATCACATTTTATGATTATGATAATCAAAAATGTTTATGGTTATCACTGTTATTAGTTTTCAGTATTTTGTAGAGTTAGCAGAATGTCTTCTTTTAACTGTTTAAAACTGGTTCCGACATGATAATTTTTAATGAACATTATACTGCCGAAAAGGGATAATTCCAACTCCAGTATGCCTTACGATTAGCATCTAAAGCATTCAATTTCATTACTTTTCATTTCAAAAAATAAGACCTAACAAGCTTAAACAAAGGAAGAACGATAGTCTCTTCAGGATTGGTAATCGCGTTGGGAACAAGTGATATTGTGGTTGGTCTATACCTATCCTTTGGTGATCACTCAGTATCAACGACTAGGGATAAAAAAGTGTAGGTACTTTAAACTACAACAATGAGAGTGAGATAATAATCAGATAAAACATCTTACAAGAAACGTAATATTAACTTCATACGGCAAATCTACGATCATGAAGCAGCTGGCACCTTCCGGTATGCCTGATTAATTAGAGCAATAAGCAAATCGGGTGGCGATAACCAGATTTTGGTTAGTGTTTTATTGTCTTGCATTTTATATAACTTAAGTAACTTTATCGCAGTTACAATCCCATGTACATTATAAATAATACTCACTTTGCTTAGAATAATTTCGGGGGCAAGATATTCTGGTGTTCCACATAATGTCCATGTTCGTCCTTTGATTTTTTTGGCAAATCCAAAGTCGGTAACCTAATGAAAATAGAAGAAAAGTACCTATTATATATTTGTAATGAACAAACTCTTGATGTACGAAAAGATTTACTTCACTTTTATATAGCTTTTAAAAATTTGAAGATAGCCTTTAACGTTTGAATAGGCCGACAAAAAATTACCAATGACTACGTTGAAAGAAGTCGATGTTTGGAAATGAGATCAGAATTTTAGGAAAACTACCTACATTCATTAATTGATATCCTTTTTGTCATTGATAGTAGTACAACGGAACATTTCACGTTTAATCAAAATATAAACTTTATATTACTCAGTAGGTCATTTAAAATGAATAACTCATTGTATATTGATGATGATGTTTATTACTAATTGAAGTCAACTTAAGAACTAAGGATTCTAGTTTGAGGTTTTTTTTAACCAGTATGTAATAACCAACGATAAAAAGTACTCTTTATTCAATGTTATGAATAAATTATTGTTTCATTTGTGACTTGATTGTCTACTCAAGTTATATTTTCTCCTTAAAATGTCGTAGAAATATTTTTTGAAGTTTTTGATTGAGATCATGAATTGATTGATGTTAAACCACCATTGGAAACATGGAAGTACTAGACCGCCGTTTTGTCCTATTGTGTGACTCCTCAGCAGTGCGTAACAACGATCGCGCGAGTAGGATCGACCCATGATCTCAATCAGAAACTTAATAATCTCCACAATCCTATACTGACATTTTGAAGTATTTAATGAATACTTGGTTATTAGTTTATTCAACTAGAAATCGAGTGGTGAAAAGAGAAAGAACAGCTCACTATTTATAAAAAAGTAACAGTGATATCTAAATAATTCTATTGGATACACTGATACATATATATTTGAAAACTGTCTAATAAATTTGAAAGGATAATGTTAATTAGATTAGATATGTTGAAGGAATGAATTGATTCTATCATGTTTCTTTGTCATTCATGTTGCTTTATGCTGAGAAAAAAAGTAACTACAGTCTGTTTATATCAGGATAAACTAATTTATCAGTGCACCTGGTTTGTTAAATAGTCAAAATAACCAACAACATATTTGTCTTATAACATTTAAACTAATGTCTATATTCAGAATTCAATGTATTTTCTAATGGTTAATAATAAATAAAAAAGTAACAGGGTTGTTTTTTCTTTTAAAGGGAAAAGAAGTTAAATCAATCAAACATATTCAGTCAAATCTACATATTAATCAGGATAACATTGCTTGATGTAGATTATCTTATCAGAGTACATTTATGGGAGATGACTTCAGAATATATAGAGGTTTCGATCTGAAAAACAAAACATGAACTTGACTGTATGACTATATGAGAATCCACTAACCTAAAATGATTTTTTTATAAAATGGACACGAAAAAATTGAGGAATCAGTTCATACACTTTAAAAAGGAACAATAAGCGTAACAGATAAATATGTTAAAATCAAGGCCTTATTAACATTTCAGTGAAATACTTTTTGCTATGCTGAAGGTTCATCCAACAGATCTAATAAAGGGGTATTGAGAATGTATTCAGTATTTACTGATGACAGAGGTAACTTGAGAATAATATGTAACATGTAAAATGTAACAATTTTAATAGTTCAAACAATCTCCATTCATTGATGTGGATAATTTGAGAATATCATACCTACTATATCCAAACACATCTATAAGATGAGATTTGAACAAAGAACTGTTGCTTTAAATATTGGATAAATATCTAATCTTCCCTATTGAAAGTTAAATATTTTAATCTCTTTCTACTACTTTAGTATATGTTAAGAGATAATCTTAAAGAAAAGTTCCGTTAGCTAAACGATGATGTCGATAATAACATAACTTATTAGTCCCTTTCATCTAAGGGTGATGATTTCAAAGGTAATTCACAGAAAGTAGAAAAACCAAAATCATCTAAATGCTTATTTATATATGAAAACTTCGTGAAGTACTGGAATCTATACTGAAGCATGTACTCACTTGGTATTGTTTGGCTTGTATCTTCCCACTGAGGTTTAAGACTACTATTGATCAGTCTCTTATTGGCATATGTGCATACTGTGCGTATGCCTCGATATTACCTTAATTCACAAGCTATTTGTAAGCAATGATGGATGGTGCCTAGCAGTGGAATCCAGTTTGACGCGCGTTTCGTCCTATTTGGGGCACGTCAGCTGGATGTACCTGCATCTCAAAGAGTTGATGTTCACTCTGGGACTTGAACCCAGTACCATTCGCTTCAAACGCAAAACAATACCAAGTGAATTCAAATTCACCCCGTTGCACAAGCAAGTGGCTATCAGGACTCAGTAGCTGAGTGGATAACGCGATGGCGTTTGAAACAAACGGTACTGAGTTCGAGTCCCAGAGTGAATATCAACTCTGAGATTCAGGTACATCCAACTGACGAGTCCCAAATAAGACGAAACGCGCGTCCTGGATTCCACTGAAGCATGTACTGTTGATACCTTCCTCTGATACGTTAAAGCCTAAATTGTATCTTCAGTTTACTACAAACTGCAGGGGTTTTTATGGGTCTTCTAACCTTATGGAATTGATAATATTTGACTTATTGATTCATTTATTGGAAGTGCAGACATTTACCCAATACTTCAAATAATGAAATATTTGATCATGTTTGTACATTGGACCTAAATAAAAGTCGAACTAATCAATTTTAACTAGTTTTGTTGTTTAATCATACAACTTACTTTTAAATAACCATCACTAGCAATCAGTAAATTCTCAGGTTTTAAATCCCTGTAGATTAAATCAAAAGAATGCAGATATTCAAATGCCAGTACAACTTGACTTGCATAGAAACGTGAATCTTCTTCACTAGAATATGAACAGAAATAGAGAAGAATAATTATTTAGCATATTTAATAAGTTCTTTAATAAAAAGAAACTGAACGTATTGTTTGAAGCCCTGTTGAAACAATTTGTCTAACTGATACAAAGCATTTCATTGACTTAAACATATTCACAATTGTACATATCGGATGAAGAGGACCCTTTTTATAAGTTGGTGTCATTAGGTGATAGAGGTAAACTTCCTAGTAAAAGTATCAGTTCCTTTAGGGTATGAAATATGTCAGCTAGTATGACATCTGTATTTCTAAGTTTTTATCAATAGCCTCTAACTATTTAACAGTTTACTCCTAAGCAAATTACTACTTAATCAAACTATCTGCTGTGACCATAATTGGAGCATAAATGTATACATGCAATGTTGATTATTAAGATTGATGATTTAGTTCAAGATATGAGGTGTGATTTATTTAAAACTTTGAATAGTTTGTTGGAATAAGTCGTTTATACAAAGTAATGTAAAAACTTAGTAGTATTTATAGACTCACTACGTCGTGTTGAAATCCGACAATGACAGTTTTAGGAATTCCTCTAAAATTATGTTAAATATTGTGTACAAACAACTTTGTCTGTTTTACTGATTGTTCAGCTCTAATGGCAATTAGTTATTATATATACATTCTTATTGTATAACTATTAAATAGCTAAATTATATATATTCATATTTCTCTTGTCATATTCTTTTAGTTAACCTATTAGCTACTATTATACGACTTACAATTCTTAACTTATTTCCGATTTATTAGTAACACTATCTCACACTCACATCTACGTTTGTCTTGATCTTGTATAATTGTTATTTTCTGTTTTATGGTATAATACGGTCTGATTTGGTTGTATATGGACTGCGTATGTATGAAAAACATGATTCATACAGTGGATGCTGAGATTGCGTTCTGGACTCAACAAGCAGGGCAAGGCAAGAAGAAATATTAAGGACTCAGAGTAGGCTCTAGGCAGCTCGTACCGGTTAACGCGTCATTGGTTTGGCACCAGGCCAAGCTCATATATGCCGGTGCTCTAATCGGCGTTTTAGTCATGTGATAATAAACAGGGTCATAAAGATGGATATCTGTCTTTCTATAAAAATGGTTGTTCTTCAATGGCCATGACTTTTTACTAGCAATTATTATTATTTAGACAACTGAACATATACACATTCAATTGTTAGACTTATTTTCTAAAGATTGTCACCAAGGGAAATAATGGAATGTATTGAACGCTTCTCGAAATTAGTTAGTAACTAGTAATAAAAATCATCATGTTGAGCAGAAGTACTGACGAATTCACATTTCTAATTTGAGCTATATACAAATGAAAAAAAATTATTATGTTGCAAAAGCTTTGTATATCTTACCTGAATTTCCCAACTCTTCTTAAATAGGAAAACATTTCACCTCCACTGACAAACTCAAGTACCATATACAAATTTGAATTATCCTTTGATTTGGAATTTTAGCATATAAAAGAAAGTCAAATTTAAACAAATTATAGCTAAATTTAGGTTGAACTTCAATTATGTTAATCAGTCATCAGGATAGAAAAAGAGAAAAAAATTAAAATTTATATCTTAAGTTCTTTCATTTTAGTTTGTAAGTTTCCTGTAGTTTGCGTCCACAAATGTGGTCTTGATGCGACAAAAAGTTTACAACAAGCTATGAAGCTGGATGCCAAAGTTTTTCAATTTTAACTACAGATATTTTGTCATATACGGCTATACGTTTCTATTACTAGCTTTGCGTTAGTATTTTACGTTCTAATTGGTTGACTCTTCAGGTCACTGTACTGTATCAGAAACTCTGGAAATCTATTTTAAGGTTAGTCAATAGGGAGCATCAAGTTATTGCGTAACAAGATGGTTTTCGAGATGAAGTATTGAGATGGATGAATACTAGTCATTTGTCCGAGTACGAATCGCACCATATCATAAACGAATTAAATTGGAAATGTTCATCACTGGATTTTACCTTAGTTGATCAATTATATTGTGATCACCCCAACATATTAAGGTCTGTGGTTGAATCCTACTAGTGACCATATAATTGTATTTGTAATGTGATCACAACTAAGAAGAAATAGCTGTTCAACAACCCCTTGTTTTTCTGAAGTTCTTCAGTTGTTATGTTTCGTAATAAATAATAACTTTAGATCATACAGAAATATACTGAATCTTAATTAGTTCTAAGACATAATTACATACTACTTTAATATATCTCAATGCGAAAAACAATTTGAGTAGTAAGCATGCAGTTATTGACACTATGTATATATGGATTCACTATTTTTAAGTATTTTTAAACTACATTACGAATAGTGCCTAGAATGATATAATGACGTTTACGGTTTGCGATCTCAGCTCAAACTACACTTTTAACTTTACAAATATAATGGTCTATATTATGTTCTTTTCAATTTGTCATTGTAATGTTACATTCATGACGATGTTACGTTACTTTTTTTAAATTGCACTTTAATACATGTTGTTTTCAACAATTATGCTTGAATCTATTTTGTGTCATGATGCAAATCATTGGAAAATTGTTGTGTATTTTTTTGGCATCAAAAACTTGGAAATCAATAAGCATTCTGTTTATTACAAATTAAATGAAAAGTAGCTAGCACTAGCCTAATAAATTAAAGAATGAACATTGTCGCATCATGAATTGCTAAGTATTCCAAAAGGTATATTAAATGACAATGCATAGTAATAACGAATTATTTGTTTAGGGAGAGCGTTACTTTTTCGATAACTAATATTAGAAATAAGTAATTAAAGAACTTAGTATCAGAAGGGGTTTCGTGAAGATTGTGGCAATTTCAAAAGTTGAGATCATGAGTCAATTGAAGCTAGACCACCATGAAAAGCCTGGGAGCACTGAACTAATTATTATTATACTCTTCTTTTCACACAGGTCAGATCTGGAATGTTTATTAGCAATTGTTATAGTGAAGCAGAGTAAAATTGATATTGGTTATTCGTTAATTATTTGAAGAACTGACTGATATCTATAACATGTCTATTATCTATCACTTGTCTAGAGTATTCATGAAACCTGGTAGAAACTCTTTTTTCTATCCTTTTAATATATGCTGCTACCGCATGTACATCTAAATCCATATATTAAACTGGAAGTGATTTTGGAGATTTACCGATGTACCTTTGAATTATTTAACGAACATTCAATGTTTTATAGAAAAACCAACTTAGTAAGAGGTATATTACTCCTATCACTTGTTTCTTCGGTAATGTTGAAAGACTATTAAATACGAAGGTTTTGCTTTCCGAAAGACTTATACTAGGTTTCCTAAACACATTTCTGGGTACGTACTTTTGAAAAGCAATAATCTTCACAAGTTCATTTGGAAGGTACTTGATAGATGGTGAACATACAGTGAATATTAGTCTTTTATTCAAATGATTAACAAACAACCAACATTAATTTTACGTTGGTTCGATAAGACATCTGCTATCAAACGTTTTCGTTCTGATATGTGTAAACAGAAGAAGATCATGCATTGCCTCTCCTTACAATAATGACTATGATTGAGATCGAATAATCTTCTTTAATCAACTTTTCTCGCTTTCAACCTCTTTTTATCTCTTACATCTTTTAATCAATGATAACATATTCATTTCATTTTAGTTTTAATTTATACTCAGTAAATATGTAGTTATTAGCTATTTTCATTCTGACTACACATTCATTGTTTCTTAAAGATGTTTATTATTAATGATCACATTACTTCCTGTATTCTGTAAGATTATTTTCTCCAGCATATAAATAAGTATCAACCTTAACTATGTTTATACATTTTATGTCCGGTTCTTCTTCTCATAACTTTTGTTCCCATTTCCAACATCCATCTACCACCAAAATGATCACGTTAATCATTCTTTAATATAAACAATTGTCATGTTGTTTGACTCTTATTGTTCGCTAATTTTACCGATCAGATAACGAATACGATCGTAAATTTTATTGATTCAACAATGAACATGTAGCTAAATATGCCCAGATCATTTTTTATCAGGGTGGAAGCCGTGTTCGCCTGAGGAAAAACTCAGGTTGTCATTAAAAGCTAACTAAAAACAATTAATGAAAATAGCTTGATATCTATGTATCTATGTATCGAGAGTATTATGAAGATTATTACAAAGATTTATTTAGTTTTAAAGTGACATTCACTTTACACCAACGTCTATTGGAACAGAATTCAAAATGATATTAAAAAAAACAACTAGGAAGTCATGACAGTGTATATCCACGACTTCATCAGGTTTAAAATCGAATACTTCCTAATTTTACCTATAAATATGACCCATTCAACTGATAAGATTTTAACTTTAATCATTTTCTTTTTTAGTCCAATCTCTATCTAATGTCATCAGTCAATGAACAGTAAGTTTAAAAACAACAACAACAACACATATTAACATATTAAACAAAATGTTGACAATTTTATTCATTGTAGCTAATAAGAAATTATTAGTTTGACATTTACTTACTTTAAAACTAAAATCCATACTGACAAGAAAAGGAAAATTGATTGCTTGTAAAATTTTTTTCTCATTCAATGTATGTTCTACTTGTTTGAGTTTGACAACCTGTGACAAATTTCAAAACAACCAAAAAAATTTGGAAACTTTTAATGCTACTTCACTTCGTATTGTTTTACTTGAAACGCGAGTCCTGGATTGCACTTCTAGCCACTATCCATCTTTGCTTATAATGCTTGTACATTAAGGCAATATGGAGGCAAAACACACAGTATGTACATATGCCAATAAGAGACTGATCAATTGCGATCCTAAACATCAATGGGAAGATTCAAGTAAAACAATACCAAATGAACTAAACTTCACCCCATTGCACAAGCAAGTGGCTATCAGAACTCAGTAGCTAGGTAGATAACGCGGTGGCGTTTGAAGCGAATAATACTGGGCTCAAGTTCCAGAATGAATATCAACTCTGAGATTCAGGTACATCCGGCCGACGAGCCCCAAATAAGACGAAACGCACGTCCTGGATTCCACTGCTAGCCATTATCCATCTTTTATTAATGCTACTTCTTGGTGTTGTTGATAATGATAACGATATAAGTTGCATATATACTACAGGTTAGTTTAAATGAATTTTCAGTCAATACATAGATCAGTAGTTACAATGTAATGGTTAGTCAGAGCTATCTATCAACTAAAGTATGATCTAGGAGGACGAAACTCTGTATCTGAGCATCAACGCTAGTTTGCAATGATCTAAAATTTGTAACTTGTTTCTTAACGCCAAGAATGATCAGAAACTCATTATGACGACTTAGTTGATTATTGAACTAATTAAAATAGATGGAGTGACCGAAATGATAACTTGTTTATATAATGCAGCCTCATGTCGAGTACATAACAGAAACCAAATAAAATTCAGTGAACAAGAAAACGAGTGGGGACAATCAAAATGTATTTGACACGAAATTACAGAGCATTTCACTAGAATCTGAGAATTATATAGTAAATCGTTAATCTGCAAAATGTCAACCCATCCTCTCAAACTTGACTGTTCCTTTTGCAAATATCAGTCCATTGTCTCAGATTTCATTGTTCCTGCATTTTCATACCAATTCTGTTACGTTCCCGTTCTTTCCTCATCAACCTTCTACTGAAATACATTCTATGCCTGACCATCGTTATATACTACTTGTGTAGATATAAGTAACCTACACCAAAATGACCGACTAACTAACTACGTGGATACAGTAAAATATCAGAATTTCATTTGTCATACTTCATAATTACTTAAAATTTAATCAATTGTTGCTTGTTTATTTATTACATAACAGGACATCATCATGTCATTATTGAACGTCTATATGAACTTAGTGGACAACATGCATTTGAGTTTTTCGGTAATAATATGTTCCAGTGCCCACAGTGGTGATATACGTAAGTTAAGAATCATTATCAATTGAACACTCTGTTCAAAGATTGATATAAAATTGATAATAATTTCGAAAGATTAATAGTTTAACTCGAGTCGATTGAATCTAGATCACCATAGAAAACCTGTAAGCACTGAGCTGCTGTTTCGTCCTATTTTGGGACTCCTCAGCCGTGCGCATTCACGATCCTTCCTCGCAAGATTTGAACCTAACAGTCTCGCGCGTGAGCGCTTAACCATTAGATCAGCTTAAATTTATTTTAATTTTTATCAAGACAAAAATTTGATAATCAGTAGAACTGAAACATAGAGGAAAAACAGGTTTAATTACTTTTTGTTTTTCTAGAATTTTCATTGCATAATACATCTGTGTCTTTTTATCTTTCACTAACATGACACGACCAAATGATCCTGTACCAAGTGTTTTTATACGATCGAACTGATTCAAGGTTGCATTACTCTGACAAATGGAAGTTAAAATGCAAAAAATAAGAGAGAAAAGAAGTAGGATTATATAACAATGTCCGTGTATTTAATAAAACATATTTCTCTATGGTTTTAAATAAATTTACAAATTTTAATATGAATCAAGGACAATAAATAACATTGTATATTCAGTTAATAATAATTTTCATTCATAATGGAAATCTGTTCCTAAGTGACATTGTAAACATCATTTCATTTACGTAAAATATGTAAAAGTTATACGATGATGTCGATGACTTGTGAAATGTAAACGATCGTACATAGATTTATCTTAAAAATCTGTATTGTATTTGTTTATTTGATAGACCAATCGGTAGACGTTGGTTAATTTAAACATTTTAAGTAAAATAAAGTATAAGATATGGTCAGCATACGTTTAAATAAAGTTAAACGATAGTTATATATGAGAAAACTATTCTAATCTGGATTATTTTATTCAGGTAATAGTTTCAAAAAGATTTATTGCTTCAGACAGTTATGATCACGTCTACAGCATGAATCATTTGTAGTGGTAATCTTTTTTTGGCTTAGGATATTTATTTTAATGTTGACGTGGAATTGTAATTTTGTGGTTGTTACTACGTGTTATTGTACTTTGTAGCCGAGCATTTATGTGTTTATAGATGAGTTGTTTGAACGAACTCAATATACTCAATTTAGTAATATGAATAATATTAATTAGACATTTGTCCATCATATGGTCTATCTGAACTTACCATTAAGCCCCATTTTGTTCATATAGAGTGGAATGACAAATTAATGAAGTTTATATGAACTATTTAACTTATTTCGCAGATACAGATTCATGTACTTGGCATCAAGTCACACTTTAAGTTTGAAGGTTAGTGGCGGTAGCTGCAACTCATTAGTGATTGAAAATCGGACACCTTAACCATTCAGCCACCTCATGAGTAGCAACTGATAACCGATATTTCGTAATTTTGTGTAAATATCAAGTTTCGCAAGAATGTAACAATACTCACATTGTACTGCTTGCATTACGGTCGTATACATATTGAATTCGGACTACTTAAAGTCCAAAATTATGAGGTTTTTAATGATAATTCTTGGAAATTTACAAACTATACACATTTTAGCAAGATGGTAATTTTTTGTATGTTCAGTTACAAAAACCATGTTAATTATTAGTTTTTGAAAAATTCTCTATTGACTTATCAGGTTTTTACAAGTGCTCATTAGTAGTGACGTCGTTTGAGTTTCTCACCGCGTTGTGGGTTAAAAGAATGAAACGTCATGACCTAAGATTGATTTTACTTAAGAGTTATTAGTTTAATGTTTCTGAGTTAGTAATGAGAGTTTTAACAGGAGCGAAAACCAACATTTTACTATCTAAGGTCTTACAGTACTTTAGATAAATAGTTAAAGAAAAATTAAAAATTAGAGGGATAACAATTCTGAGAATTATAAATTTAAAGGTTTTCATTTTACCGCAGATCATATTCAAAACTGGATTAAATGGTCTCTTTTTTAGCATATGAGTTCCTTAAAAGAATTTCTAGGTGTTTGAACTTTTAACTTTATTATAGCTTTTACTCAGTGAATAGTAATATTACTTATTGCATTTAAGTGATCTGGTGAACAATGTGGTGGAATCTGAAGTGTTGAGTATCAGTTTCGAAAATTGATTTGAAAACCACCAATGGAATCCAAGTTCATTAATTCAAAGGATTTTAATTCGATTATAATTCTAAATTTGATTTGTAAATAACGTGTAACCCTTAAACACGACTAACAGAAATCTTATAATCAAAACTAAAAGTCAACGTAGTTTTCAATGTCAGTTGGCTTGATTGGAAAAACGCGGTTTTAACTGAATTACATATATTACTGTTTTAATTTGCCTGTTTTGTTTATGCGTGTATATAAGTAATTGACTAAATACGTTTCTGTTTAGTCGAAATAAGAAATACAATCTCATTCATAAGTTAATTAAGTTTTAGGTGGAGTTTTGTTCTTTGAGCTGGGTGGTTTCGTCAGAGAACAAAACTCCAGTTAAATCACCCATCTGAGCTACAAATCTTCACCATCTTTAATTAAGTTTGAACGCTGTAGCCCAGGAAATTATCGAACTGAATATAAACTAATTTTTAAAAATGGTGTACAAAATTCCATCCATGAAAATGGCATATTTCAATTAACCGAGAGTTAAATATTAAAAATAAAATAAAGAGATTCACAAGCAGAATAGACAGAGAATAAGCTCAATATTTTAAATTTGTTAAATCATCACTATTGAAACCAATGAAACAATATGTCCTTGATATTCATCATTTATTCAAGTTGCATAACTCACTTGAGTTGGGTGTGACCATTTTTGTTCAAATACACGAGATTCTTTTTCAAGATAATCGCCAACTAAAATGTATCAGTAAACAAAAACAAAATAGAAAAATAGAAAACCATAATTCCAGTGGTTAATGCGATGAATTAAAACAAAATTTTTAAATAAAAAATATTGTTTTCAATTAGATCTTCATCAGGCTTTACTCTAATATACAGTAATATTTATATGCATATATGAAATTATTAAAAAAAATCAAAGCTGTTTATGAATTAATGATAACAGTGGAATAGATTACGTAAATAAATACAATAAGTAAAGAATACAAGTCGTTAGCATGATGATAGGTGTACTAGTTGTGATGAGACTAACAAAGCGCTGAATCCATGTCTCATCATGGAAAATAGGTCAATTACTTAAAAAATATAGATACTGGAATAACATTCATAACATCTATAAAATTACGTAATGAGGAGTGTGTGGATAATTGAACAGTGAAGCGTATATTTAGAAAAAGAGGTGGGAGGGGTGACCTCTAACCTATCATTGTCTACCTCATTATTTTGATTGTATCTCCCTTTGACTTGATTCTTCCTCCTATATTTGTCCACGATTTTTATTATTGGTTGATGGATTGGATCTATTTCGATGTGTTTATTGACTGCTGTTTGACCTGAGTGCCAAGCTTCTAAAAATTCCCTAGTGTTTTTGGAATTCCGCCTATCCATGATCTCAACATTCTCCCGGTCGAAAGTGTTTCCATAGTTGTCCACGTGCATTGATATAAGCATGAATAGGTCATGAAGTTTGACTGCTAATTGATGTTCGTGCGGGCGAAGATGAAGAGGGCGTTCTTTTTCTCCGATGTAGTGTTGTACGGAATTGTATCAGTTTATTTTGTAGATGTTCGTTTTTTCTTATTTGTCACATCGTCCTTTGCCTTGCATAAGATTGACTGAAGTAATCTTGCCACTTTATGTGCTGCACACGTTCTAAACTGAATCAACAATAACATTGTAATTTCTGACATGTATTTTACACACGGTAGGATGATCCATTTGTCGGTTTCCATAATCGAATTTTGCTTTTGTTGATGAGTGGTACTGATATCGTTTGATGAACCTGCGTCAATAGCCACTCTGTTTAAAAGTAGTCACTAGATGGACTTATTCGTATATGTTCCCGCCCTCCTGAATGTAGTTTGTACGCAGTTGATTTGGTGAATTCTGGGGTTGTCGCTACTATAAATGATTATTTGAGTGGGTTGGCTGCCAATATACTTGAGTTCCCAGCTTTTTTCGTAGGAGTTCTAGTGATTAGTATATCCAATGATGATAATTTGTTGTTCGAATGTTTTACGGAAGTGAATTTTATGTCATCAGTGACATTGTTGATCAGATTGTAGGTGTTTTAATTTATTTTAATACATTAGTTTGTGGAAAAATTGTCTTCCATGATCTCCATTTTTATTCATTGGATCTAAATGAAAAAGGATATCCACTTTGAAATGTTCACTAAAATTGATAAATCATACAAAAAAACGTTTAACCGTTGGTTAAACAACCTCGGAAGTTTTTACACATTCTTATAATTTTAACTAAGACACTGTAAAGTTTACATTAAAAACAACAACTGAAAATCAAGTTCTTTTGACCTAAATTCCGCACACCCGTTGGCAATATATGTTCACAGTAGTGTCTGAAACCAGACCCAGGGAAAAAAGACCTTGACGATAGTTTATTACTATCAAACATTGATATTATCACAAACTATTTCTTTAAAGCATCCGACATAAATTCGCTGTTGGTATTTGAAAAGAAATTAAATTCTGTGGTGTATTGTGATCTAACCGATTGTTTTCTTTCTTTTTTCTCTCTTTAGAGTGCAGTAATTTATGGTCATAAATTTTGTGAAATTATCTCAGTATTACTTTCAATTTCTAGCTGATATATACAAGTTAAATGTTATTTTTATTTTTTCAGAGAATGAACAACTGTTCAATGACCTTAGAAATTCAGTTGTTAAAATTACCATGGAGATTCGAACTGTTCCAATGTGAGGCCTAATTTTTATTTTAAATCTGTCAGTTTTTTCTACTATAATGTGCATTAACATTTTTTTAAATCAAAAATTTTGGAAATATGATCCTCATTTATCTTGTTATTTATGTTACTTATTCAATGGTTTATCTTCAATTTCATCTAAAGTATATTGTCTTATATATTATACTATTCTTTAGGTTATATTAGTTAAGGTGAATAATGGTAACCAGATTCGATTGGTTTTCTTTCTTCATTTCTTTTTTCTTAACATAAATGGTAGAATTTTCCAGAACTCTGAATCATAATATCTGAATTGAGATTTTAAACAAGATAACTAGTGAAAATAAATGTGTTATCAGCAAAATTCAAAAATCAAATCAAAACCATTCTCATTGAATAGTCATTTAAATAAATGTTTTGTATTATAGTTTCAAATAAACAATATTTCTGTCAATCAATCTAAATAAAAATATTATTTACCTTTTTTTAATTAATAAATAATAAACAAAATGTAAACTAGATTAGTGTATTTCTTTTTTAAAAAACCCGAAAATAAACAAAAATAACCTTTGATAATGATTAAAACAAAATGTTCGCACAATAATTTGAAAATGTACTTTGAATAAGTTTTGCATTGATATGTTGAATGATTTCATATAGATTTAGTTGTTTAGTTGTTACTGTTATTTCTGTTTAGTAGATCATAAAAGATAGTGTTTATGATATGTTATAATAAGAAATTTCACTTAGAGAAACTAATGAAATTTGTTCAGAAAGTTTATATTTAACTAACCTTTTAAACTGATAGTATGTTTTGATTCACCTGTTTAGTTTACTCTTACACTAATCAGTAATTTATATTGAGTTAGGCGATCATCAGGCTTTCGGTAATATATGATCATTTGTGAAATCATCTTAAGCTGTCTCAAGATAAACGAATATATATGTTTAGTCAGATCTGTTGTGAGATAGTAAATCACTTAAGACAATGGTGGATAAGTCGCTTAATTTCGTGAATTGGTTGATTTATATAAACATATAAACATTGGTACAAGGAGGCACCAAGTACATATGCTCCACATAAATCATTCGATTTGTGTGAGGACTGGGATACTGCACAGGTGCCGAAACCGAAACGAGTGGTTTTGTTAAGAGGCCACACACGGATCATTCGACCTAAAGGTTTGATCCACAAGGCAGTGGAGCAAGGTCAACAGATGCAGTCTCATGGTAGAAGGTGACCAACGATTGGTTCATACGCCATTTGTTTCCTCAGGATACATGAGTCCATATGCACCATTGGTTTTGAATCAGGGTTTTCCAACTCCGCTAAGTGAACATTCCATGTCCACCGACCCGGTTAAAGTTCCGGCATTCGCTTTTCATCCTTTGAATTTCGTAAACAATAATAATGCCGTTTGAAGGCAGTGAGTAGAGCTTCTCCGACAGTGGTTGTATACACGTGTCCATGTCAGTGCATTTCGAGAGGGAAATCTGATTCTCCTCACTCCCGACTGTTCCATGGCATTTGTGGGCATTGGTTGAAGTCAGACATTAGCACCCTAAGATGCCGACCATCTCAGTGGTCTAGAGGTTAAGCGCTCGCGCGCGAGACTGATAGGTCCTGCGTTTGAATCTCACGAGGCAGGATCGTGGATGCGCACTGCTGGGGAATCCTACGATAGAACGAAACAGCCGTTCAATACTTCCATGTTTCCCATGGTGATGTAGCTTCAAATGACTCATGATCTCAATTATTGAAATTACTATAGTATCCACAAAACCCCTTCGAATATTTATGTGACATTCCTTGAAAAACCTTACTTAGTGTTCTACCATTTGAAATTAGTGATAAGTGAAGATAATTGAATTAAACGAAAAATTACTAACGTTCAGTAGTTTTATAAATCGTCACCTACACAATTTTCAGATTTAGCTCACATAAGTATACATTCAATAAATCAACGGATCATTTATTGCACAACGGTTGACATTTGAATTCAGTTCCTATTCATGTCACAGGTTGTTATAATTAAGAGGAAGAATAACAGTAATAGTAAACCTATAAGTACTTCTCGATTGAAAAATGAAATTTTAATCTTCTCAATCAATGATCTTAACTCATGAAACAACTTTGTAAAGTCGATAGACCCTTGTAGCTTAAGAGATTTATGTGTTTTTGTTTTTCTTATTCATAATCTATCAATGTTCATTTACAAGAGTTGAAGTAAGTTCTATTAGACAGAGATTATATGCTGTATAGAATGGAACAGAAGTTCGTTTTCTGGAATTTTAGAATACCTACTAGAATTCTGTAGTTTTGGAAATATTACTAATTTACTTCAAGTAAAATATGATATTCAATTTGACCAAAATGTTACAGTTTGGAAGTTAAAACAGAAAAAACGTCCTCTTAGTATTGGAACTAACTTGGAACAAATTTTAGAACCTTCTGGTTAGTAGGATTCCATACTTGGCTGTTTTTAAAATTTTGTGGTACATATATGCTTTGATCAATTACTGGTTTCTCAGGATTAGTTCATCTAAAGAGATTTCATATTGACTGACATCAATAAGACAGCCGATGAGGACCAGGGAGTCCCATCAGTCAGTCAGTCAGCTGCAACGTAAGATCAGGCACATATATGCATCAGTCCAGGTTGCCATACCGCATTAGCACAACATGATGAACACCGGATTCATAGAAGTAGTTAATTCAATGATGCTAATATATAAAATAAGGATTACATATAAGGATATAGTACAGGAAGAACGAATTAATTCGTAGAAAGAAAGATATGAAGCGATGTTAATCTCATAGTTTGAAAGAAGACAGAGAGTGTATACACATACGCCATTGTGGTCGATTCTGAGCCATGTCACAAAGAGTCTCCAACCATTGGTTACGATAGTGACGAGGACCCCAACCAACTAGTCTGCATCTACCAATATGGTTCAGACTAGAAGTTAGTGACTTCAAGCACTGATGCCATGTTTTGATCTAGCCAACCCTAACTTCCTTCCAACCATCT